GTGTGCTTAGGGGAACTCCCTGGCTGTCCAGTGATTAAAACTCGGCTTTCACTGCGGGGCGGAAATTCAGTCCCCAGTGGGGGAACTAAGATGCCGCAAGCCAAAAAAAAAAGAGGCTTAATGCACATTTAAGTCCCTTCAAATTCGTCCTCATCTTTGAAAATACACTCTCCTGTCCCAGAATGTTAGCCGCTAAGAGAGGAAAACTCTTGTGAAGTTGCTGGCTTGTCACTTTACTCCGTTTAGTAAATAATAAACGCATCCCGAAAGGATTTTTAACATACGTCTACCTGTTTAGTGTATATATCACTATCTTCTAAAATTATCTTGAAAGTGAACACAAACTATTCTAGTTGTTACCTTAGATTTTGGGGGAAAGTAAATGGTGTCTAAAAACAAACAAAACACAAGCCCCAACTTATCATTTATTTATAAAATATGAAAAAAAAAGTCTAGCATTATCCAGGCCAGGAAAAGTCCTTGAAAATACTGACTGATGCGGTCTTCATCTTTTCTGTTATCTCTTCAGAGATTGCAAAAGAAAAACAAATTTCTTATATTTTCAGTTTCCATAGGATTCCTCCATTTAGAATAATTCAGGGCAAAAGGAGAAAATCCTTCTCCAGCTCTGGGAAGAGCTACTGTTAAAAACACTATGATCCCTTGATTAGGCTCTGGCTTATCCAGGGGCTTAAGCTTCCCTTGTGGTTCAGCTGGTAAAGAATCCACCTGCAATGCAGGAGACGTGGGTTTGATCCCTAGGCTGAGAAGATCCCCTGAAGAAAGGAAAGGTTACCCACTCCAGTATTCTGGCTTGGAGAATTCCATGGCCTGTATGGGGTCACAAAGAGTAGTGACACTCACTATCCAGTGGCTTAAGTACATTTCTAAAGTGCATTAGTAACATCTTAGCATTTTCCTCTGGGCAGCTGCGATCTTGAAGGAGTAATTAGGAATGTTTAAGGCACAGTCAGACCCCTCACTAAGGACCAGCCCTGGGACAAAGGCACTGGGCATTCTGATGAGAGCAGGAGTGAGCACTGCCTGTTCAGGTCTGTCTTGAGTGTCTGTAAACTAAAGCTGTCCCCCAGGCTTTTCAGCTTGTGTCTTTGGCAGGAGCCAGCCGTTGGCTCTGCGAGCTCCAGCTGCAGTCAGCTCTGCCAATTGCTGCCGTGTGACTTGGGCAGGTCATTTAATTGCATCCCTTCACTGTGCTGCTCAAAGCTCTTCTGTGGCTTTCTGTGGCACTCAGAACTAAGTCCAGACACCTCGGCCTGGGGTTCAGCCCAAAGCCCCTTCCTGCCCGGATCTCATCTTCTGTCCTCTTCTCCTTTGCCTTTCAGCTTCTGAACATGCCAAACTGATCCCACCTCACTACCCTGGCCTCATTATTTTTATATATATATAAGAAATTTTGAGATACATCCTTTTATTTATTCTGGCCGCGCTGGGTCTTCCTCGTGGCATTCGGACTTCTTTTGTTGGGGCACACCAGCTCTTGAGAGGGGAGGGGGTGGGGAGTGGAGCAGTGCTCAGCGGGGCAGGCTCAGTTGCCCTGGGGCATGTGGAATCTTAGTTTCCTCACCAGGGATTAAACTCCACATCCCCTGCATTGGAAGGTGGATTCTTAACCACTTGGACCAGCAGGGAAGTCCTCCTCTTCATCCTTTTTTTTTTTTTTAATGAGTTGGTTTAATTTCAGGTGGTACAGAAATCAGGACAGAACAAAGACTTTAGAACACACTTTGGCAGGAATCTGAGCTAGGTTTACTATGATCTCACAGCTAAAGCAGAAAAAACAGAGAAGAACCAAAGAGAAGGTGAGCCACTGTATGATTTATTTATTTTTAACAAAAGTATTCTCTTAAAGGTACAATAAGTTCCAAGACAACACTTCATCCTAGCTACGTGTGTATTAGTCGCTCACTCGTGTCCAACACTGCAACCCCATAGACTGTAGCCTGCCAGGCTCCTCTGTCCATGGAGTTTTTCAGGCAAGAATATTGGAGTGGGTAGCCATCCCCTTCTCCAGGGAATCTTCCTGACCCAGGGATCAAACCTTGGCCTTCTGTATTGCAGGCAGATTCTTTACCATCTGACCCACCAGGGAAGTCCCTTCATTCTAGGTGGTGACAGATGTCATGGCAGGGAATCCAGATGTTTAAATGTGCATGGGATTAAGGATCATCATTGCCTCAGACAGTACTTTTTCCCAGATTTCTAAATTCCACCTGTGACCAGGGGGCCCTTAGCTTTTAGCTTCTCAAGTTTCTTCTGCTTTTTCTGTATCAGTCTGAATGCTTTATTTTCCTCATCTATCTTCTTGGCTTGCCTTTGTGGCTGCTACCCCTCCCCAATTTTATTTTAATTAATTAATTTATTTTGACCACAACATGCAGCTTGTGGGATCTTAGTTCCTTGACCAGGGATTGAACCTGTGCCCCCTGCAATGGAAGCATGGAGCCTTAGCTATCTCATCAGTCCCCAAGTTCCATAGGGCTGATAGCCTGAACATTGCTTACATCTGTGTTTCTCTACCTCCATGCCACTACCAAGTCCAGGTCACCATCATCTCTTGCCTGGATCATAGCAATGGCCAAACTGGCTTCTTTTCATTCACTTCCTTTTTTCGTCTCCCCCCACCCCATACACTGCACAGCATGTGGGATCTTAGTTCCCCAACCAAACCCTCACCCCCTGCACTGGAAGTGCAATCTTAACCACTGAACCACCAAGTCCCCCTCCTTTTTTCTTTCAAAGTGAACTTTTAGATGAACTGCACAAACATGTGCGCAAACACAAAATGAAGCGCGTGATGAAATTCCACCAACTGCAAACAGCCCTTGAACCAGCATCCCAATCAAATCAGAATTCACTGGCACTCTACTCTGGTGCCCCCTTGTGGTCAGTTCCCTTCCCCCATAATCTCGACCTTGACTTCCAATCACAGCAGATTTGTTTGGTCTGTTCTGGAACTCCGTGTAAATGAAGTCACATAAGAGGAACTCTCCTCTGACCTTACTCCACAGTGGGGGACTCATCCACGTGTTGCTGATTCCCTGACGATATCCCCCCGCCGTGGTGTTTATTCATTGTCGCTATGCGAGGAGAGAGGGTGTTCAGTTTGGGGCCACACTTAATAGTTCCTGTAGGTCTCTGGGAACCATACAGGTGTGTGACTGTGGGGCGTGTGCCCAGGAGGGAGTCGCTGTGTCACAGGATCTGTGGATGTTCAGGTTCAGGAGGACCTGTTCCACCTGTGCAGGGAGCTGGTACTGTGTCCTCTCCTGCTGTCTGCAGATTCATCTTTTGCATTTCTCCTCCCAGTCCTAGGACCAGCCATTTCTCCAAGAAGCCCTGACTCCTATCATTACTGATTCTTTTCACATCATAAAGCATTCACAAAAATAGGATTTTTAAAAGGAGAAATAAAACTAACGGAAGTTCTACATTTCTTTTCACATCCAGTCAAGTTTAAAAAAAAAGAAATAGAAGAGATATTTGTGAAAGCACACACGACACATAGAGGAGGGAGTCTGCCAGCTGAGGGTAGGGGGCAGAGACTGCATGCAGCAGGATAAAGGGCTGGAAACATTAGCTGAAAAGGACATCAAGGGCGGGCGTCTGCGTGCCATTGTCATCTGCTCCCAGGAGTGGCCTCCAGGAAGATCCTCTGATGCGTAGCCAGTCACAACGCCTCCTAAGTGCCCCCATCCCTGCTTCAGTGTCTGTCACTTTGGTGAGTGAATGTGGGCTGAAACTCTACCCAAGACTGGGGGACACTTTAGGGTATCTGACAGCAGGAGGTAGCCACAGCAACAGCGAAGGGTATTTGGGGATAATGACAGTGACCTGGTTTCCTAAAAATGCAGCAACTTCTAAGGAGAAAGTAAGTTAATTTACTCTAACATCTACCCACAAAGAGCCAGGTGGAGTGACTAGTGAGCTCAGTCTCAGTAGACAGTCCCCTTCCTACCTATACTGTAAGCTGTCTTTAGCGCCCAGGTAGAGACAATGTTCTGGAAGGTGGGATGTGGGTGTTTGGGAAACATCCAGTCAACTCTACTTTTCTGGGGGCTTTTCTGGCCCTGTTGTTCATGCGTTGCCTGGCTGAAGCTGAAGCTGCCAGACTTGACAATCATGGTAAGAAATGCTTGGAGCTGCTGCCTAAGGGAGGAACCTCCTTGTCCTCCTGGAGCTTGCCCGGGGCAGGAGAGGGCCACATGTGCCAACTGTGATGGGCAGGCTTCTGAGCCAGCATCACAGCTAAGATCCAGGAGCCAGGTTTGGGGTTGGCAGTCTCTCTGCCTGCCTTGTTTGCAAGATCAGAGGTTAGGGCTTCCTTGGTGTTCCCATGGTTAAGAATCCATTTTACAGTGCAGGGGACACGGGTTCAACCCCTGGTCCAGGGAGATCCACAAGCCTCAGGGCTAAGCCCAGTGCCACAACTACTGAGCCCATATGCAGCAGCTACCGAAGCCCACAAGCCCTAGAGCCCATGCTCCATAAGAAAAGCCACCGCAATGAGAAACCCACACACCACAACTAGGGAGTAGCCCCCGCTCTCCACAACTGGAGAAAGCCCCTGCACAGCAAGGAAGACCCAGCACAGCCAATACTAAAGTTTTTTTTTTAATACTAAAGTATTTTTAAAAAACAGATGTTAGTCTGTTCACTCCCTGGAAAGAAGCAAAGGTTCCACCATAAGAGCTGCTGGGTAGTTTCAGTTGCTGCAAGGCCAGGGCATCAAGGAGTGGGTGGTGAGTAGACTGTGATGAAGCCACACAACAGAATGCGCCAGTTACAAAACAGCAAGGCACTGCTTGAGAACGGCAGAACTCCTGACACATAACCATCTGTCCAAATCTGCACCAAGACTTAACTGAACTCTAGCATGGCTTCCAGAAGCATAAGGCTATGATGACTGCAGCCCCCCTTTCAAATGCCTGCCAGAGAAAGCTCCATGCTGTAGAATTTACTATTTGTTCGAGCCAACACCTGATGATGGGCCCCTCACCTCACTTTCTTAGAGCATTTACTAAACAAGGCTTATAATGTGAACATATGTCTCTTTCAACCCAGAAGCATCCCTCACAACCCTGAGAGTCATATACCTTTGAAATGTATGCATCAGAGAGAACAGGGCCTGTCTCCCTTCCCCGTGGGAGGATGGACTCCGGACTCCCACATCTGCCAGCTGGCAGACACACACACCCCCAACTGCATCTTCACTGACCGGCTCTTTGTGATTTTTCACTTTTCTGACTCTACTGACCTCCCCCCAATACCCCAATTCTCCCTTTGAAACACCCGATCACCTCTGCACATAGGATGGAGCTCAGCTGTTTGCCCTGCTGTCTGTAGATACCGCATAAAACCTGTTTTCACCACTTACTAATGTTTGGTTGTGTTTGACAGACTGCACGCTTTGCTTTCTCTCTGTTTTTCATACTGAACATCTCTAAGATATGTGTCACCTACGTAGAGGGGGCAAGTCAGCAGCATACATTCTCATTATTGGAACAAAACCCATCAGACGTGGAGGGGAGGAGATCCGTGACCCGGGAGGCTGGACTGAGCGCTGGGCGGGAATTCGCGCTCGCGGGTCCCCGGAGCCGGCGCTCTCGGGCAGAGGGCCCTCGCTCAGCCAGCCCCATTCTCCCCACGGGGAACGCGAGGGCTCCCGGCCGTCCGCCCCTCGGTCCTTACCGCCCCAGTTGCCCCCCTGCCCCTAGTCCCCAGGCGGGCTCCACGAGAGACCCAGGAAAACCGGAAGTTGAAATGGGCAGCCGGACGGGAAACGCGGGCACAACTAACCTAGGTCAGGTAGCAACAGGATAACCCTCCAGCCCCGGCGGGGCCGCCTTCGGGGGCGCGGACGAGAGCGCGCAGGTAAGGGCGATCAGGTTGCGCTCTGTGGGCGGGACCATGCGGAAGACAGCCAATTACAGTGTCTCCCGCGGGGCGGGGCGGGGCAGAATCGTTGCCTGAGCGACGCGATCCCCGCGTCGGTATTCCGCTGGCAGCGAAGCTGGATTGCGCCGATTTGTGCGCGTTTTGGGCCTCGCGTGGCTCCGACCGCGTCCTCCAGCGGCCACCTAGCAGCCAGGGGATGGAGTCGCAGGTTCCCTCTACGTCTCCGGGGGTCAGCGGACCGCCGGCCGCCTGAAAACTCACGACCTGGTCTCCAGCTACCCTGAGAGTTCTTATTTTTCTTCTTAAAACTTTTTTTTTTTCTTCAATTTATGGCTCCACCTACCTAACACTTATCCGTTCAGTTCAGCCCCTCAGTAGTGTCCGACTCTTTGCGGCCCCAGGGACTGCAGCACGCCCGACCTCCCTGTCCTTCACCAACTCCCAGAGCTTGCTCAAACTCGTTTCCATCTAGTCGGTGATGCCATCCAACCGTCTGATCCTCTGACGTCCCCTTCTCCGCCTGCCTTCCGTCTTTCCCAGCATTAGGGTCTTTTCCAATAAGTCAGTTCTTCGCATCTGGTGGCCAAAGTATTGGGTTCAGCTTCAGCATTAGTCCTTCCAATGAATATTCAGAACTGATTTTCTTTAGGATGGACTGGTTTGATCTCCTTGCAGTCCAAGGGACTCTCAAGAGTCTTCTCCAACACCACAGGTCAAAAGTATCAATTCTTCAGCGCTCAGAGTTCTTTATAGTCCAGCTCTCACATCCATATATGACTACTGGAAAAACCATAGCTTTGACTACACAGACCTTTGTTGGCAAAGTAATGTCTCTGCTTTTTAATATGCTGTCTAGCTTGGTTATAGCTTTTCTTCCAAGGAGCAAGTGTCTTCTTCTTCTTTTTTTTTTTTTCTTTTACAGTGGTTAACATTTGATCTGATATTACTCGATTATTCCTGCTTTTCTTGACATCTCTCACATTCCTTTATTTGCCTTATCATCTCTCTTCCCTAAGGCTAAATAAATCTCTGCAGTGCCCTGTCTCCAGCCTGGTTTAACCATCTTAATGAGTACATGTTTGTTTTTGTTTTTCTTATATCAAATGATTTTTCCCCCTAGTTTTTATTATCCTGGCTGTTTTTGTAAGGTCCTCTTTAAGACCTGAATCAGCTCGCAGGCCAGTCTGGAGGGAATTCACAGAGTTATTGGCTTGACCAAAAATCCATTTTGCCCAACCCAGTATTTACTAAAGATGGCATTTCTTACTCAAGCTCACTGAAGTCACAGGATACCGGAATTGGCATTTGTTGAACATTTCCCACGCCTGAAGTTCCAAAAAGCCCCTTCATCCATGATAATTATCTTATAAACAGGCTCCTGAGGTAAGTATACCCCTAACCTGGTGGCCTGTGAATGAGACAGCAGATGTTTTCTCCTGGAATTGTATACAGTTCTTAAACTGCTTGTTGGTTTTAGTCATCTACATCCAAACATCAGGATATTTCACATAAAAATCTAATTCTTGGCTTTTCTTGAAAAATCCTCAAGTTTTTGGCAATATCGAACCCCAACCACCCCCTTTAAACAAAATGTGGTTTTTTGAGACCCTTGAAGTCCCTCTCACTCCAGTCTTATACCTCAAGCACTGATCGTTCACTGTACTACCTGGTTGTGAAGTGAAAGTCGCTCGGTCGTGTCTGACTCTTTATGACCGCATGGACTATACAGTCCATGGAATTCTCCAGGCCAGAATACTGGAGTGGGTAGCCTTTCCCTTCTCCAGGGCATCTTCAATACTACCTGGTTACTGAAGGCATTTAGGTTTTTGACCGCTTTACTTATTGACTCACTCTGCCCTGGTGCTTTTCTGAAGTCTTTAAGGGAGTGCAATTCTTACCAGCAAATATTGATAATCCTTCCTCCCAGACCTGCTCAGGCCTAGAGCAAGCCCTGGAATGGTTTCCTTTCATTTCCAAGGAGTTAATGTCTGTCATATAGTACGTACTCAATAAATATTTTCTGAACAGTTAAATAAATGCTGAGACTTCATTTGGTCCAGTTTAGGTGATCCCATAGTGGCATCCAAACCTCTGGGCTTTCTCAGTATCTCTGAAGTAGTCCCTTTTGCCTGATAGAGAAACATTTGCCCAGGAATCAGGACACACACACTCTGTCTGCCTTGGGTATACTCCTGAGTCTGCCATGTGTGAGACGGTCCACCTCAGGGCGAATTCCTTTACTCTGGACACCGACGTGATGAAGAAACACTCCCAGACTGCACAGTTCATCTTTTACAAGGCCCACTGTGCCTTTTCCCTCGGTTTATAACCCTCTCTGGCTTGAAAACAGTATTGACTCTTGATACAACTTTGTTCTCTTCTCTTTACCTTGAGGATTAAAACACCCGAAAATACTGACCAGAACCAAACTCCAGGGGTAATTTTTCTTTCATTAAAGTGATCGTAGAATCCCTCAGAATTCTAGGACTCCTAAAACAAGTTGAACTCCACAAGCAGAATTGCAAACCCAAAATGCTGCAAGGGCCAAGTGGGGAACCAAAGGTGGTAAACTGAGAGCAGACCCCTAATGGGAGGAATATGGGTACAGGGTTGCTCTGGTTCTGCTTTCTCAAGACAGTCAATCTTATGGGGATTCTCCTAAGTTTTAAGTTTGGGGATCTAAGTTTGTTTTTTTTTTTTTTTTTTTAATTAAACCCTTGTTGAGCGCACACAGCAAGCACACCAAGGGGGCGGTACAGGGCCAGTGGTGTCTGTCTTCCTGGGTGACGTGGATGCATCTCGGAGGACTCTGATGGGCAGAAGGCAGGGGGCCTGGGAACATTTCCAGGAGGACTCTTCCTGGTATTTGACTACAGGGCTGACCCTCACCCCTTTCTTGACACCTGGTCTCCTGTGCCCTGTTAAGGAGGGATGGGTGCTTTGCCCCAGAAAGTGAAGCATAGTCTCTGCTCTCCATCTTGGGAAACTTAGTTCTCAGGGTCCAAAGGAAAGACAGAGGCGGAGGGGTGGACTATGAAGCCACCAGGGTTGTCTGAGGGTTTGGGACCCTGTGCTGGGTCAGGGGTGGCTGGCTCAGGCCCCTGTGTCACTTCTATCCCTAGCCTTGAGAGGGAGCTGGGGATGGGGGGAAGGTGTCTAAAAAAAAATCAGATTAATCCCACATCTTTCCAAGGTGTGAGGCATGTGGGGTAGGAGTGGGTAGAGAGTTGTTCCCAGGTCTCTCTGTTTCCTAGGTTGCTCTTAGGCAGCGAGACCTCCATGCCAGCCTTGAGGTGAACTTCAGGACCTGCTGACCACTCTGGGAACCTTAAATGAAATCCAAGGATGTCTCCACGGAGACACCGATAAGACCTTCAGAAACTGTGTACTGAAAAGGACCACCGCGTCCCTCCACTGGGCAGTGTCCGTCCTGCAAGGACAGCTGCAAATTTGAAACGCTCTCAAATATCAAAATCCTTTGACAAAATCTATGTTCCCGCTTTGGCGCCCCTGCTTGGCTGGTTTCACGAGTACAGGCCGGGTAAAGCGGTCGTGAGCCAGCAAGGAGGATCTGGGGAGTTGTCTCCCGGCCGGCCGAGAGCAGGTGCAGCCGGTCTCGGGACCCCAGACCCGGAACCCTCCAGGCTGGGAACCCTATAGGGCTGCAGCTGCGCGGGGAACGGGATCTGGGAGGGACTTCCTGTCGTCCCTAATCCCAGTCTCCACCCGGCTCCCTGCGCCCGGTGCAGGCTGCGGAGACTCCCTTCCCCGGGGGCGGGGGCCCCGCCGCCCGTAGCGCCCCCTCCGCCTCCAAGTCGGTGAGAGCGGGGCTGGGAGGGCGCCTGGATCCCGAGAGCCGCGCGGGTGGCCGGCTGGCAGGAGGGGCCGGGGTCAAAGGTGGAAGGCTACGGGCTGGCGGGGAGAGGAGGAGGCCTGGACCGGGTTCGGAGAGAGGAAGGACATCATTCGCGCGGGACCGTGAGCAGGATGGACGCCCTGCCCGGGCGGGTGGTTGCAGCCGCAGGGAGGGCTGCTGAGAGCGGGCGGCTCAATTTCGGGATCCCAGGTGGGACCGAGTCAGGTCGAGCGCAGGGTGTGTGTGTGTGTGTGTGTGTGTGTGTGTGTCCGTGTCCGGGGCCGGGAGACGCTGGGGCCTCGATTCCTCCGCCGAGCTGGCTACGGCGGGCGGGGCCCCATTCAGCACCTGTTTGGTAGCATCTCTGCAGATCTTTACGCTCCTGGTGACGGGAGATACAGATTCCAAATTCCCCCAGCTTTCCCTAGCCCAGCTGCTCTGAGATTCGGAGTTGTTGCTTCAGTGATAAAGGGGACCACAGAAAACAGCATTCAGTCAGAACGAGGAACCAAAAACAGTTTAGAGAGGGAGGCCGTTGGAGGGCGTCCGGGGGGCTTTGTGTCCGTTTGGGGTCAAGGATGGGTCTGGGGACGAGGATGGGGATTTCGGGGCTTTCAGGGGGTGTCCAAGAGACGGTGGCTGATTTCCTTCTGCTCCTCCAGGCTCCTGGCCAGAAGCTGGAGGGGGCTTGGCCAACACGAGCACCAAACGACTCAACGGTGCTTTCTGGCTCTGAGATTTAAAAAATGTCTGCAGACGACGGAGGCATCCGAGCTACCCAGGACAAGGAGAGAGGCCAAGAGGTACCAACCGGGTGTTGGGAGGGGGAGGCATGCACTGGAAGGATTGGAGTGGGAGGGGATTTTCAGGGCAGGGCATTTGAAAAAGTTAGACTCTCTGAGGGAGCAAGGCTGGTAGATGGGTTCCGGGGTGTTGAAGAGAAGGAATGATGGGAAATACCTTCCACCTGGGAATGGACTTCTATGGGACTGATTTGCTTTGCCTGGTGAAATCATAGTCAGCAGACCAAAAGCTACATAAGATGGTAAGGGAGTTGCATGGGGGGTCCTACAGGTGGGATTTGCTCTGGGCAAATGAGCACATGGCAAGCCTCACCCCTCTGCCTGGGTCCCCAGCTCCTCTCACTCTGGGCCTGAGCACTTAATCCTTCCTGTACCTGTGTGTGTGTGATTAACAACCTGAGGGAGGACCAGGGTTACCAGCCATGGTGGAACCTGAGTCAGCTGCAGCCTAGTGTGTGACCTTGCACAGGGCCCTTGGCCTCTGGGAACCAGATGTGTCATCTGTAAAGTGCGGATCATGTGCCTGCCATGCCCACCTGTCTCGCCAGGTGGTGGGGAGGCTGGGAGAAGATAATAGGCAGGGGAGTCGTCTGTGTGCAGCTCGTCAGCCTGTAGGAGCTCATTACTGCAGCTTGTAAACCAGCACCACCCTTGGCAACTAGATCCTGGGTCAGAGAAACATGGAACTCCTCAACTAGGATTCCAGTGGCTGCAAGTGCAAAGACAAATCAAGTGTTTTTTTTTTTTTCTGTGTTCATATCATAGAAGCACAAAGAATTTTTTTCCACTGCTCAGTTTCCCTTCCATCATGCCTTTGTAATACCCAGTGGACCTCATAGGTCCATAGCATTCTCTGCTGATGTTGGATTCTGTCAGCTCCCACCAGAGAGTGATAATAATAATTACCAGCACCGGTCTTTGTTCATCCAGAACTTTCTGGAGAAGGTAGCTCTTGTGTGTTACCAGTGCGGAGGCAGAGCAGCTGGGTCTCAGAGGCCACCTGGCCCAGGCATTTTGACTCCGGGCTTGAGGTGTTTCTTGTCCAGACCCTAACCTATACCCAGGTGGGCAGGGAGGTGGAGGGATAGACTTGAGTTCCCAGCAGGAGGCTGGCTGGTGCCCAGTGCTGTGGGTGAGAGGAGGCCTCACAGGACCTCCCAGTGCAAGGCAAGTGACTTTCCCCAATGCTCTGCTCTGCTTTGGGCTAAAAGGCTAGTGACCAGAGGTTATGGATTTCAGCCCCGGCAGCCTGACTCCAAAGCCTGCCCCTCAGCCTCCCAGAGTGCTGGGCCTTGAGGCTGCTGTTAAGGGGGCAGGGAGGGCCCTGGAAGTCCCACCGTGGGAGGCAGTGCTGAAGAGGACGAGCCTGAGAGTTTTCTTTCCATCAGACCTAGGTGGATGCAGGGACTCAACACATTTAGAGGTACCCTTGGACTTTTTCCAAATCAGAAACTCCAGCTTCTCTGACCAATTGAGTAAGGCCTGAAATGGGCCAAGGCCACAGGCTTTCCTGTCACTTTCAAGAAGTGGTTGCCCTGGAGGTGACTTGCGGGTCAGCTCCACTTGAGTTCCAATCTCGGTCAAGTCACTCCCAGCTCTGTGACTTTGGGCCATTGTCTGATCTCGGCACCTGGGTGTGTTAGGTTCCTGTGTTTGCTGTAACAAGGGACCACAAAGTGGGTGGCTTAAAACAACCAGAATTTATTCTCTCACACATTTGAAAGCCAGAACTCCAAAATCAAGGTGTTGGCAGGACCCCTCCCAAGGCTCTAGGGGAGGATCCTGCCTGCCTTTCAGCTTCTGCTGGCTCCAGGTGTCCCTGGCTTCTGACAGCATCGTTCCAATCTCTACTAACAACTTCACGTGGCTTTGCCTCTGTTTCTATGCTCTCTTTTTTTGTTGTTTTGTTTTGACTTGTGGGGTCCTAGTTCCACGACCAGAGATGAAACCCTGGCCCTTGGCAGTGAAAGCTTGGAGTCCTAACCACTGGACCACTGGGAAATCCTTGCGTCCTCTCTTTATATACAGACACCAGTCACTGGATTTAGGGCCCAACTGATTCCAGGATGATTTCATTTCAAGATCCTTAGCTCATTACATCTATGCCGAGTGGCTTCAGTTGTGTCCGACTCTTTGTGACTCTATGGACTGTAGACTCCATTATACCTGAAAGACCTTTAATCCAAATAAGGTTCCAAGTAGACATGAATTTTGGGGGAACACTATTCACCTGACCCAACCACACTGTTTGTTCATATATTCAGTTCAGTTCAGTCACTCAGTTGTGTCCGACTCTTTGCAACCCCATGAATTGCAGCACGCCAGGCCTCCCTGTCCATTACCAACTCCCGGAGTCCACCCAAACCCATGTCCATTGAGTTGGTGACGCCATCCAACCATCTCATCCTCTCTCGTCCCCTTCTCCTCCTGCCCCCAATCTCTCCCAGCATCAGGGTCTTTTCCAATGAGTCAGCTCTTCGCATCAGGTGGCCAAAGTATTGGAGT